TTCAAAATAATAATAATAAAACAAATAATTAATTTTCAAAATTCAAAACATACAAATAATTCATATCATCTTTCTATCATATCCCTAAATATTATACAAATGTATAATAACTAATAAGGGAGTTAGAACTCACCTGGAAAGATTTTTCAGATCGAACAAGTGGTTAACGGCAATTCTAGACACGTCCCAAACCACCAATTAATTCACCTAAATTCAACCGTTTATCCAAAAAATCCGAAAAATATACCATTAGAAAAATAATATTAAGAGATATCATAATCAGGTATCATATTCCCCAACACCGGTTTAAAACCATCTGAACCGGTGCGAATTATAACCGGATTAAAATCAAAACTTAACGAAATTCAAATCAGCTTTCGGGTTAGTATTTTAAACTGACATACCATCTCAAAACCGGTTTCAAAATCTTAAGAACCGGTATTTATAATTCCCGATTTGACTATGAACTAACAAAATCGAAATATTTACCAATCAGATTCCGATCAATTCCAACTTCCGTTTGATGAGTTGTCAGTGGCGTTGGATCCGTATGAACGAGAGATTTCTAACAAGCTATAGCACGAGTCCTAATTCTTCCTGAACACGAATCAAGACTAGGATACTAATACTGTGCAGCACAATCAACCTAAGCCACAACAAACTTCTATCAAAAGTTTCCCAAAATATTCAAATCCGAGATGGTGAAGAATGGACTCAAAAACTCACCAAAAATCACAAATTGATAGGAAAATCGGCTTCTAAATTCGGGGCTTCAAAACGCATATATATAAGTCATATTAGGGTTGAAGGATGAAGATTAGAGTTGCCAAAAACTATCCCTCAGTTTTAGGAAAGGATGAACTCGAATTCTCTCCTTTTTTCCCGGTTTTGCACTTTAGTCCCTGTACTTTTCTCTATTTACAGATTCTGCTTCAAACTTCTGAATTGATCAAAAATCCCCCTATAACAGAGTTTCAAATTGATCAATTTAACCCAAAATCTGATTCCATATTTCTTTTAATTATGGGTGTTACAAATACATATAAGTATATAACTAATTCAAGTTAGATTGGGAAAAAAAACAAGTGAATCCTCTTGTAAAAGTGTAATTAAAATGCTGTTATATATGAAAATCAAAATCTATGTAATTCGACCACAAGGTTTATACATATTCTTTTTAATACTATTTAGCTATTAATAAAAAATAAAACATTCAAATTGGTTTCTTTATTGCATAAAAAAGAATAAAATTTACAATATTTCTACTTTATATAAAACTAACAAAATTACTTTAATTTTATGGTAACATTATGTTTTATTAAATTATGGAATCCCAGCTGACTGCACTGCCCATCACACAATCGTGATGAAAGATAGCTATGCTCATGCTTAGTCCCGAAATCAGTCGCATATGACCATCAGAGACATTGGGATTGTAAGTACGAACACAATATCTTTCCGACTTTTTGCAGAAGAGGGAGACACAATACAACATGCTGACTAAATCCACGTCGGGAGACACATCCGAGGAGGTAGCGACAACAACAGGTGCACCAACACCATTTGAGTGAGCCTCGAGGAGAATTACGAGCTCGGTTTGGATATAACCCTCCACAGAAAACTGAATGCTCTATATTATTTCAGCTTCTACTGCTTCTTCAATTTTTTCTAGTAGTCGACCTCCGCATTTTTTAGTTATGCCTCTTTTTTACGAACCTTCTACTAGCTTATGCCAAAACTTGAGTCGTATTTAAGCTATATTATAAGTAAAATTACATATATTATACATATTAAAAACACATGCAAAAATGGTACATATCAAGTTTCGCCTGGTTGTTCATCTAATTTGCTCTTGCACTTTTATTAATGACGGTTCAAATATTTTTTTATTTTTTTTATTAGCAACGCTTATACTATTTTAAAGTAACGTAAATGACAACACAAATATATATAGTAGGATATGTTCTGTCTTTGAACCACGTTTGAACCATTCCTCCATTCACAGCCAGAAAAATCACTCATTTACGTTTCTCCCACTTATTTTATTTTATCAGTTAACACAAATAATAATAAGTTGAATGGAAATAAAAGCAAAACATTTCGAAAAATATTCATTCCACTTTAAATCCATTATCCATTCAAAGTCCATATTTGAAGAGTTTAACTAGTGAACCACTTTGTTTGATGATAAAATAATAAGAAGAATAAATTTATTTTTTTTGGTCATAAGATAACACAACGATACATCATCTTTAGAAATAATTCTTATGAATTAATTGATTAAAAAAGATGTAGAAAACAAATATGGGTTAATTATATAAATTATGTTAATATATTAGGTACCATTATCATTTGAATCTGATCCATTAACACAATCAACTAGTAATATAGAGGATCCTCTATATTACAAGTTAAATCATGTCTATTTATTTTATTGTTAAGTATAACAATTTTTGTTTAGTGATTTTAATTAATTTTATCATATATAAATGATAATTTTATGAATAATATATAAGACAACTGATTTGTTATACTTATTATCTGTTTATACTATTATTTAGTATCTAAAATGCTAAATTATATTAATAAAATTATATAAATATTTTATCACTGAATTATAAGCATACACATATTAAAAAGGAAAAAAATATTACAATAACTTTTTATAATATATGTCATATTTTGTTTAATATATTATCTAAAATTTGTGTGTTAGCATATTTTGACATTTTCTACTATATAAATATTTGATCCGCACCGCTTGACCGCATTTACCATTCAAACATACTTTTTGAACCGTTAAATCTGCTAGATTCGCACTTGTTCCATTTGATCCCCTTGATCCGCTTTCTCCTTTCAGAGCCATTATCAGAAGATGAAGATGAAGAAGAGATGAACTACCGTAGTTGAAATTCATTTTTAATAAGAAGTAGCGAGGAGAAGTTACTTTCATCCCTTGTTTATGCTATTTATTTAAGTTTTCACTTATAGTATGATAATCTTAAATATTTTGTCCAAAATGGTTATTTTTACAAAAGACCTTTAAAATATATGATTGCAAACAAAAACAAAAGATGAAGACACAAAAAAAAGTTCGATTGGTAATATAATCCATAGCTGTTAAAAATGAATACTAACACATGTAATATATTATTTATATTCTATCATCGACGTGAAAAGGTTGGACATTCATTAGACATATTGTAGACAAAATATTAATTATGAAAAATCAATTTAATATAATTTTAGTAATAATTTAAATTTGACAATAATAAATGATATTAATTATACAATTAGTAAAAAAAAAATCATCTTATAAAATAATTTTTACATTTTAACAAAAATGTAATCATTTAAATAAAAATTATATTACCATAACATAACATGAATTTGTTATATACGACAATGTCAATTATCATAAGGAATTAATAATACGACAATGTCAATTATCAATTACCAATCAAAATTTTATTCACATAATTATTTTTGACCTATAAATTGTAAATTAGCAACATAAATATATCATAAGGAATTAATTATTATATCAAAAAATTTTATCATAAATAATTAATTATTTCCTTGATAGTATATAACTTGAAATGAAATAGTGTATGCTATTTTCTTTTTGTTAGTTTATAATTAAGTTTGGTAATATGTTATTTAATTATTAAGTTTATATGTTATCGCAAAAGGTGCTTGTAAGAGGCGTGACTTAGGTTCGGCAGTATATCTTAGTTTCAAAAGTCACAACGTTTGGTTTGGTCGGTTATGTACGTAGGATATGTATATAAGTGTGTGTCTCTTGTCTTAATTAAAAAAAACAAGTTTCAGATTCAATAAAGAGTTCTTCGTTTACTTTTTTCTTCGGATCGTGATGAGAAATGAAAATGAATCGTTTGAGAGTAGAAAAATAAACAAAAACAAGTGATTTACAAAAACAATTGAAAATGAATTGTTTGCTCCATATATCTATATATAGGAGAAGATTTTTTTTTTTCGGTCAACAGCTTTTAAATCTTATTTAGTATTGTATTTTCTAATATATATTTTTATTAATAAAAAATTTTGTTCAGTTAAAAGAAAAATCGGATCAACCAATAGCATTGTGAATTTGTGATTCACATTATCTGTTGACATGAATGATTGGTTTTTTTTTTTTTTTTTACATAAATGATTGTTGAATATAGTGGAGAGATAAATCTTATTTTAATTTTAATTTTAGAAAATGTTTTTTATTTTAAACTATTTTTATTTTTTTGTAGAGCTTTTGGTTATTTTTTATTGATTGATCACAATAAATTTGTACTTTTTCTAACTTATAGCGACTTGTCATTTTAGAAGAAATATTAGCGGTAAGAAAATGAATTGAAGATGTGTGGTCATTTATAGAGTGGTGTACATTTATATAGAGAAGTGAAGGTTACAATAAGTGACTAATCAATGCACATGTTAGATTTTGGTCAAAAAGATTTAAATGGTTTAAGTTGACTGTGTTTATATGATAATGTGATAATTGATATAAAACATGAAGTGACGAATCAATGCAACAGTTAGATCTTGGTCAAAAACATTCAATGTCTTAGATTGATTTGTATTTTTTCTGTTAATGTGATATTCGATATAAGACATGAAGTGACTAATCAATATCAATGCAACAGTTAGGGCTTGGTCAAAAAGGTTCAATGGCTTAAATTTATTCAAATTTTTCTGATAATGTGATAATCGATATAAGACATGAAGTGACTAATCAATGCAACTGTTAGATCTAAAATTCAATGCCTTAGATTGATTTGTATCTTTCTGATAATATGATAATTAATATAAGATATAAAGTACAAAAATCAATGGCTTAGATCGATTTGCTTACTTAGATTGTTAGTTATCTAAGGGGAAACGATTGAAGAACTAAACTAAGACCATCCTTATCGCAAGGCTCTTAGTGAGTTCTTAGCTTTAATAGTTAATTAAAATAAATACAAAATCACCTTTGCAACTAAAAAACGTCTCTTAGTTAAGGGACAAAAACAGAACTAAGAGGCGTCCACATGGCAAAGTGGGTGTTTTTTTTCTCTCTCTCATTTCCCGATTTCATCGAGAAACAGAGAGAAACCGGAGGGGCGATCGTTTGATTCCATCATTCAATGGCCGGAAAAGTGCTATCTTCGGCGCCTTTCAACGCGCCGCCGATGATTGTCCAAGATGCTGACCCGTTACGTTTCCGGGTCGGTGAAGAAGACCCTTAAACCCGTGAATTCGCAGCTTTTATCGGCGACCACCACTGGTATTTCGCGGCAGCAGCAGCAGCCGCCGCAGCTAATCCACACCTCATCTAGAATTCCGTCAGAATTTCTACTCGGAGGAACCCATTATCGGAAACCCTAACGACAGTGGTGGATCCGACGGCGAAGATAACGTTGACGTGGAAGAAGAAGACGAGGATGATGACATAGACAGAAATGAATGTGACATCGGCATGAACAAAGAAGCTGGTGAAATTTGTATCATCAGATTGATACTTTTTAAGTTGGAAACCATTGGATTGGTATTGATCATGCTTGCGTTTAATCTATAGCCTATTTTGTTGTTAAATTTGATTTTCTTTGCACAATTTTAGAGGGTCTTTGATGGCTGATGCTATGATTTTACCTTGAGGACACACTTTTGGAGCTGGAGGAATTGAACAAGTGAAACAGATGGGACAGAGTTTTGTTTCTGCTATTTGCATTTGTCTCTTTTCTTTCGCTTATGAAGCTATTTTCCGTTGTGTTCTCTTAGAAAGCTTGCTGCATATGTTCACAACCAGTCTCAGAAGAATCGATAACCCCAAATCTCAGTGAGTAAATTACTTGGAAACGAACCTCAGAGATATGATGCAATACACAACTAACATTTGCTAATTGGATTTGGTTTGATCTGAACATGATAGGGAGTGTTCATGGAGTATGAGAGGAAATTTGTTTGGTGTGTGTGATGGGATTCTCTGTTTGGAAAAGATGCAAGGAAATTTCCAAAAGGAAAGATAGTGATGCTGCAGAAGCAGATGCGTCATTATTATAACAACAATTCACGAATCTTCATTTGATTTGCCTTATCAGTCCAATGTGATTTTAGTTTGGCTAGAGTTGCAGACAAGTCAATTGGCACATAAGAGTTAAGTGAGCATTTTAGATGTTATGATCACAAGATCAGGCTGACACAAGTTTAGGTGACTAAAATCACTAAGAAGATTAAGTTCTAGAAGAGGTTTTGAGTTTGAATGTGTTAGTAACAATCTTATGATTAATCAAGTTGAAGAGCTTCTCAGAAAACAAGCAAAGTTCTGATGGCTTCAATGCACTTCCCAAACGGTAATTGTAAAGATACAAGTTCGCTTGTGATACTCCTAGATAAAACTTTTAAGTCTTTCACGAAACTCTCAATGTTTAACATATTTGCCTTTGCAAGTATTTTTATGTTTGATCTTAATTGAGAACAAAATGCCGTCATTTTATGTTTTACTAAATCTCCTTATTAGATATGATCACAAAACCATATCTTTTTTTCTCCACAAAACCAAACACATAAACCAAAACCATATCTATCTTTTCTCCACAAAATCAAAACACAAAAACCAAAACACATAAATTTAATCAAAACACATAATAATCAAAATACTTCAAAACACACAATTTTTTAAACGAAAACACAATAATTATGAACCAAAACACTTCAAAACACTTAAAAATTTTAATAACCAAAACATTTCAAATTTTTAAGAACCAAATCACTTCAAAACATTTTTTTTTTAAGAACCCTCACTTAAGATACTACCATTGGACAATGCCAAAAATATCAACTCTTACCCAAACTCTTAAGTTTTAAATTTTCAAAATTAACAATTAAAATATTCTAAGAGCCAATATTAAGAGACTACCAATAATGTTGCTCTAAGGAATTAGTAGCAATTGAATAAAGTTCATAACATAGTTGCAATTGAATAAAATTAGTAAAAAGATCATTTTTTGTATTTGTTTGCTAAATTTAATAACGAAATTTAGACAAAAACTCAATTCAATTCTAATGAATTCTCTTACTTTTAGCAAGAAAATTCAGCAAATAAAGGAACAATTTCAGCTCACTAGATTTGTCAAATAATTTTTTAGATTGCTCCCATCCATGTGCTGAAATGGATTATAAAGAAACCAATGTGATGAATGTTTAATAATTCAAAAGGGGAAATAACAACAAAAATTATTCAATGAAGTCTCACTAACATGAAAATGATAGTAAAGGACTTCAATGTTTAAGAAACTTACGAACATATCTTAGTCCAATGTTAAACGTTTCCGAAGAATTTATGTTATATCAGATCTAATTTTCTTGGCTTTTGTCAACTTATTTACTAGTTTTTAATAATAATTTTAGGCTAAAATTAATTATTTATTTCGTTATCAATATGATTTCGATAAAAAGAAAATTAATTTCCCTTTAAAAATCTCTATACAAACAAATAACTCAAACAAGCATAAAATATGTATTTTTGATTAGGAAAAATTAACCTAATAAGTTTTAAAGTCTTTATAAGGAAATATATGTCTAGTCATTATATATAATTATTAACTTTTTTTTTTTTTGGCAAAATATAATTATTAACTAAAAATAAATGTAAAGATAAAATAAGTGATCCGCATTCGGACCTGCTCGACCTAGTGACCCGGTTTGCTTTCAAAATCAAATTTAAAAACATTGTTTAGAATAATAAAATAAGTTTTTTTTTAATTTTTTTAAGTAAAATAAAATTAGAGTAAAAAAAAAGGAAAAATAAGTAAAAATACACACAGGAAGGAAGGTTCATCTTTCTCATAACATTTAAGTGATTACCTTATAATATTGAAATACAAAAAGTATGACAATAAAAACTATAAAATCTGAGTGAAGGCAAAATATTAACTCTAAAAGCTTTTAAATTCCTATATATTTATAATAAAACAAAATATTTGTGTAATTACTTATTATAATAAAGCAAAATTAATTTTAAAAAATATTCGCAGTGATCTACTCTTTCGAACTTACTTATACAATAAAACCTATATAAATTAATATTCGATAAATCAGTAATCACTAGAAATAAGAAATATTCTGGTTCCAACTCGGGTGTGTGTAAAAATGAACAAAAGTCGATAAGATAATATTTTTTTGAATCCCTATATAAATATATAGCTCCATTAATAACATAAATTAATAATCATGTGTAAATATATATATATATATGTATATAAATCAAATATCTTTTACTGTTTTTCTTATTGAATTTTTCTTATAAAACATATTATATTGTGTTTTAAAACTATTTTATTGTAGTGTCGTCGATAAGTTTTCATATAAATAACCAAAATTTATGTATGTTTTTAAATTCTAAATATGCATCATTTTTATTTCGATTGTCATATAAGCGGCTCAAATACAACAATCGAGGTCACGAATAATAATTTTGAATTTAGTTATCATTTATATAAGTGAGTTATCTTGTCCTTGTTATTAATTATGAAAAACAATTTTCTCTTCTTCTAAATATTAAACTATTAATTCAAAACTAACCTTTTTTATAAAATCCAAAACATATATTAACTTATTTAGATCAAACTTTTTGAATTCATATTTTTCTAAAATTTTAAAAATAAAAATAAAACTCTATAAATTTATAAATATTGATTATACTATAAATCATACTGAAAATTAATATCACTATAAATTAATAAAATATCATGATCCCGACATTATTAATTTATAGAGGTTTTACTGTATGCGATTAGACACAGCCAAAATCACTTCAAAATCGATTGGTTTTTTTTCTTTTTATCGAAGATTTTTTTTCTTTGTATTCTCGACATAAGTATTAACGAAAAGATGCTAATCAAAATAGTTGCGTATAAGCATTCTAATAACGCCACTAATTCTCTTGATTTTTTTAAAAGAAGCATGTGTAATGGAGCATGGCTCTAGAGTCTAGACTATATAAGATTATTTTCTTAAATATTTTTTTTGTTTGAAGTAAATACAATTTAAGAAAAATATCTCGTAGCTTAGCGTGAGTTTTAAGGCTAATAGGTGTTAAATTACAACAGTTTGGGTCATAAAAGCGAGTAAGTTATAGGCTATTTATTACCCAAACTAGTAGTGAGTCTATAGGCTAATAGGATAAATTACAAAATTATCCTAAATACTGAAAATACATAAAATATAAATCTTTTTTTGTTTGGTGCTAATTTCACAGTTTATAATTTTTGAAGGTTATTCATGCAAATTTCTCTTATTTGAAGCCCATCAGGCATCAGGGATACAAATATCTCTCAAAGAAGTAAAAACAAATATTTTCTTCTAGATCAACCATGGAAGCTACCTCTCTAAGCTCTGCAGCAACAATCATTTCCTCCTCATCTTCACCACTCTCCATCTTCTCTCCCAAGAAAAGAACAGACTCATCACCTTCCCCGAGAATCGTCCGTCTCTCCAAGAGTAAAACAAAAACTCAATAACTCGTGACTTTCTATTTCCATTTCTTCAATCAATCTCCAGATCGTGATGATTTTGTTTTCGAATCGTCTCTCAACCTAATTTTACTCTTGTCTTCTTTGATCCAGAGAAGGAAGACAAAGATTACGATCCCCAACAATCCGAATCGAACTCATCAAGCCTCGTTCCTCTCTTCCGAAATCGAACTCTCTCCAATGTAAATCTCGATCTCTATTATGGTTTCTTGTTTTGTGGAATTCAGATTGTTTATTAGGTTAATTTTGTGATTGTTTAGGATGAGGCAATGGGATTGGTGTTGAGTGCAGCTTCGGTTAAAGGTTGGACAACCGGTTCCGGTATGGAAGGACCGTCTCTACCGGCTAAACCCGATACAGAGACCGTTTCAACGTTTCCATGGTCATTATTCACGAAATCGCCTCGTAGGCGAATGCGTGTTGCATTCACTTGTAACGTCTGTGGGCAAAGAACTACAAGAGCTATTAATCCTCATGCTTACACTGACGGAACCGTCTTCGTGCAGTGTTGCGGATGCAATGTGTTCCATAAGCTGGTGGATAATCTCAATTTGTTTCATGAGGTTAAGTATTATGTGAGCAGCTCAAGCTTCAACTATAGAGATGCTAAGTGGGATGTTAGCGGGTTGAATCTTTTCGATGATGAGGAGGATGATGATGATAATGATAATGATGCTGGTGATAGTAAAGATGTCTTCCCTTTGTAAAGAGGTTTGGACTAAGTTATTTAGTAACCTTTCTACAGTCATGTGATTATCTGTGTTATATATCTGTGTATATAGCTACTTCATCCTACCATCTTGGTGTCAAATAACATTTGGAAATAATAAATTGGTTATATAGCTCATGTTCTGAATTTCTTGGGGAAGGTAGATTTGGATCTGAGACTGATGCTTTGTTACTCTGATTTGGAATCTACCTCTTTAATGGTAAGTGTTAAAACCTTGTATTTAGAGCGATTGGATACAGAGAAATCGATTGATATTTAGTAGATGGGATCTCTAGTATCAAATGAGGTTTGTCTTGTGATAATAAAACTTGCCATTTTGGTTTGGTTCAAGTATGGTTTAGAAAGCATGTTTATAGAGGTTAACACTTCGAGAGTAGATAGATTACAGAGACACATCTTTGTGAACCTATTGTGGCTCCTTTTGTTCAAAGGCTTAGAGATAGTGATTTTAAGTTTGCGTTTTGACTGTGTGCAAATGGAATGTGTTGATGGAATCTGTTACAGAATGAGTTGATGTTTTACAGTGTGATCTAGACATCTGTCTCTCGGGTTTAGGATGATGGCTCTTGGAACTTGGTGAGCAAAATTTTTTGTACAATGGGGATTTAAGTTATTGTTTGTGGCCTCTTTCTGGAGTTTGGGTTGGAGATTTGTTCATGTAGCTGGAATCTTTGTCCAGTTCTACGAGAATAGTGGGTGAATATATATTGTTACAAGTTACAAGGCAAGTGTCATTAGGTTTATGTTCCGCTTACTTGTTAAAACATGTACAATGCAAAGTTTTGTTTTACTCCCCTAGCACGAGTAAACCCAATGGCCATTGTTTCTTACAAATGAAGAGAGAAATGCCTACTAAACACTAGAAACCCATTCAAAATCAAGACAAAGGAAGAGAAGACATGTAAATGATGACTTCTGTCCTTAGTTCTCAGAATATCCATTTTCATGTAGCATCCAAATTTCTAGACTTAAAAAGAAAAGTGTTAAAAGAAAGGCCAAGACATATCTGGTATTCTTTTCGTCCATACAATTATTCTGCAACCAATATAGGAAGCTTGGTGTCAATTAAATTATCGACAAATACAACTAGAGAGATTCAAAAGAGAGCCTCATAACAGTTGGAGATGCCGCAATGCTTGGATCAAGCTGGGTCTAAATGAGAAACATAATGTTAAGAGACCATAAATCAAACAGGCCAAAGCGAGGGTCGTTCTCTGATATTACTACAGAGCTTTGATGTCAAAGCTGAATGATCGATGAGGCTGAAAAAGGATCTACTACAAGATGTCTAAAGCCGGAATAAGTTCAGACAATCTTTGCAGGTGCATGATCCTAAAGGAGGAAAGGGATACACGAGCTGTGGTAATACAAAAGAATGATAAAAATCTCTATGGAAGATGACAAATTTGCTACACAGCTTAGTATGAAGCTGTTGGTAAGAACAAAAGTTTCAATAGAGTGTTGTTGATGTGGAATAATCTTCTAAAGACTGCGGTTTTACAATGGGAAAAAACCCGAAAAAACCGCCATCTATTTTTTTTTTTGCCGTTTAATACCCGTGTTTTTAAATTTCGAATAAAAATACCTCATTTAATTTCGATTGCCTTTTAAAACTATCGTTTTTAAAAACTTGGTAATTTCGAACCCAACACTTAACAGTCGTTACTGGGCGTAACAGAATTATTTAACGGCGTTAAATTTTAACCGGCGAAAAACCCGAAAAAACCGCCATCTATTTTTTTTGGCCGTTTAATACATGTGTTTTTAAATTTGGAATAAAAATACCTCATTTAATTTCGATTGTCTTTTAAAACTATCGTTTTTAAAAACTTGGTAATTTCGAACCCGAAACTTAACAGTCGTCACTGGACGTAACAGAATTATTTAACAGCGTTAAATTTTAACCCCACGTGTTTATATAAATATATACTATCTGTTTGCAAAACTTTATGTGATAGTTAATGTGGCTTGGCGGTTGCATGTCAGTTTTGTAAACCTCAGGAGCTGGGTTTTTTGCCAGTTAAAATTTAACGCCGTTAAATAATTCTGTTACGCCTAGTAACGACTGTTAAGTGTCGGGTTCAAAATTACCAAGTTTTAAAAAACGATAGTTTTAAAAGGCAATCGAAATTAAATGAGGTATTTTTATTCCAAATTTAAAAACACATGCATTAAACGGTAAAAAAAAAAATAGATGGCGGTTTTTTCGGGTTTTTTCCCGTTTTACAATGGTCCAATCATATTTATTTTCGTTCATTTGAATGTGTGGTATGCTTTTTAAACCAAAACATCATTTTCCTTAAAATAAGCAGATGTTTTAAGCTGTGTAAAAATAAAGAATTTTGAAGAAAGACCTGTTCCACTACATAAAGATTAAAACTCTTCAGATTTATGGTATGTTTTACAAACTTGAATATTGTTCATTTAAATTATCTTAATACCAATTTTTGAAGGACTCAAAAGTCTTTGACTGAAATATATGCTACAAACAAAAGAAGCATTTAGTTGAAACATAGAAAGCCTACGAACAATGCATGCACAAGCAGCCATGAATTATCAAACACACGTTCATGGCAGCTGATGCATCCAATGTTACTTCACTACTACGCAAACTAAACCAAAACAACAAGAAAATAAAATAGAGTGGAAAAAATAAACCCACACCGAGCATTCATGACGGGTCTTTCTTTGGTCATCCAACGACCGACCATGTGAAAAGTTCCACCACTCACGGTACACTCACACACCACTAAAACCGGTTTGATGACATCGGTTATCGTCAATAATCAAACGATCTAGACGGTAGCAACGGAGGAAACTTGATTATGCTCTCTCATAACCCGTTTCCTAACCCCATTAAGCAACTTTGCAACTCCCAAAACGACATCGTACATGCTTAGAGCAAGATATATACCAATACCAGCTATAATCCCATTAGCAATGGAATAAGTCAACGGCATAAGCAAGATCGTTACAAATGCCGTCACGGCTTCTTTAATCTCTCCCCATCTAATATCTTTTACAACTCCCATCATCATCACACCAACCATCACCAGCGACGGCCCGACCGCCCACCTCGGCACGTTAGTCACTAACGGCGTCAAAAACATCGACGCCAAGAAATACACTCCTACTATAACGGCCGTTAGCCCTGTTTTCCCTCCTTCTTTCAACCCCGCCGAAGACTCCACGAAAGTCGCCGTCGTTGTAACCCTAGCGCCGATCCCACCACGGAGGAGCCGGCGTCTACTAAGTAAGCAGCGTACTCTCCTTCGAACTTCCCGTCTTCCACGAAGCCTCCTATCTCAGCCATCGTGTAGAGTACTCCAGTCGTGCCGAGGAGGTCAACGTAAAAGAGTGTAGCGAACGCGACCCAAACCTCGCTCTTTCTAAACTCCGTGAAGCTTATGGCTCCTAACGTTGACTGGATCTTGTGAAAATCAACGATTTTTTGTTAAGTAGTTATAGTTTGAGTCTCCCAGAGGAGTGTGGGGAAAGATTGTGACTTGAGTGCCTCTAATCCAAGAAACAGCCGTAACAAACACGATTCCGTAAATCATACTACCTTTTGACGTTCTTCATTAGACCAAAGCTCGTTATGAGAAACCCGACGACGGCTAACCAAAACGTAGGACTCTTCATTTTCCCTCCCAAGCAAGTTCCAGTGACAGAATCCGTCTCTGCACAGCGGTTAATGTCACTAGAGTTGACTTTTCCGGTCCCACGAGCCCAATGCCCTGGTTCATCTGCAAACCAACAAAAGCGATGAACATTCCTATACCGACCGTGCAGGCTAGTCTCACCGTTTGAGGGATGAGACAAGCCAGTTTCCCGCGGAGTCCTAAAGCAGACACCGCGAGAAATGCGCATCCCTCAAGCAGCACGATGGCCATAGCCGTATGGTAAGAGATTGAACCGGAGCCACGAAACCCGACAACGTTGTATGCGATGTGAGCGTTGGCGCCCATACCCGGAGCAAGTCCAAAAGGTAGATTAGCGAACAAACCCATTGCTAATGAACCAACCATGGCTGATAAAGTAGCCACAACGAGGTCCTTTTTAACCCTAGCAAGACATTCTTCGTAGCCAGGGTTAGAACCAAGGACGCATTCTGGACCCGGTGGTGAAGAACCGGACACGGTGGAACAGTCGTGGAAGGAGCAAGTCGCGCCGGAGTCGGCTAAGATATTGGCGTTGACGGTAATGAATAAGCCATGGTGAGGAATGTAGCGGTTGCAGCTCGGAGTTCAGTTGTGAACTTTGTTTTTCTTGCTTCTAACTTGAAGAAACGACCGGCGAAGCTCCTGGAAACGGTATAAGTGTTTCTTCATGTCGTTCCACGACTTGCATAACTTCTTCTCTCTCCCCATAACTAATAATATGAGGGATTTAGGGAGCAAATGCAGGAGGAGGATGTCAATTGTCATGCATATATATACTAATAATATAAATACACAGAATTATGTTAACACAAACTAAAATATTCAAAGTTGACAAAAAATAAACTCAAATATGATCAAATTGCAAAGAAAACAAATATATGTTTCTATCCAACTAAGAAAAATTAATACGAAAAGCTTCACAATCACGTGATACTCTCTTGTATCTATCTATGGAAGGAAATCCTAAATATCTAGGCCTATTTTGACCGAAATTTTTTTGATTAAAATTGTTACTTTTTCGGGTTACGATGGATAAAGGACAAAACAAGTCATTGGCTAAGAAGCTAGGCATTGGCTTCGGTCCAAGACCAAGAATCAAAATTTTTTTTTTCTATGTTTGGTAAACCTTGCAAATGAGAATTAAAAGAAAAAAAATTAGCATTGATAGAATTTTCAAATATTTTGCAAAATATAAAATATATGAGAATAATCTTCTTTTATAATAAAGTAAGAATAATATATCTTTGATATATAGATATTTTGTCTTCACCAAAAGACATGTAAATAGTTTTATGTATTAAATGTCGGTATAAAATAAACTTGGTTTGAAAAGTATTTTAAGTAAGTGACTATATATTTTTATTTATTTGCTAAATAACTTCAATGGTGTAAAAATAAAACTAACTCTATCCTATTTTTTTGTGTGTGTAAATTACTTTATCCATCTAAGTTAATAGTTTCAAG